TGGCAGGACTGCTCTGGCCTCTAAAGCACGAAAGGGGAAATAAAGAGCTTTCCCAAGGCTGCCAGGGCCTCACTGAGCCCTGGGCGTTTGATGATCCAATTTGTGGCTCCTGCGTGTCACTGTGTACAAGGCTTATAAAGTTAACATTTATTGACGGCTACGTGCCAGCTACAGATGTAAGCAGTGTACATGTATAACTCATTTAATCCACATAACAACCAACTGAGGTGGATACTATTAGCCCTGGTCTCACGAGTGAAGATACTGACGCTCTGAGAGCTTGAGTAACTTGCTCAAAGATCCACAGTAAGAAAACAGTAGAGTCAGGACACAGACTCAAGCAGCTGGCTCTAGAGACTACACTCCTAATTAACCCCTTCCCCAAATGGACTCTAGAAATTTCTGGTATCACTTTCCTCAAAGTATATTCTAAGGAGGTTCACAGGTATCTGACAAGCTCCGAGGAGATAATCTGGGTCTCACTGCCTTTACCTGCAGCTGAAAGTTCACTTCTGGGGCTCTCACCAGGTGGAGGCTGCATTCCTCTGTAGCTTTGACTCTGGTCCCCACTGTTGCTCTTTCCCAAGGCAAACCCGGGCAGACGCACTTTAAAGCACTAAAGCTTTCCTCACATCCCTTTATACGGGACACGTAAAATCTCTGGTCCATAGGCATTTTTTTTTTTATTGGAGGGGGTGAATCTCTTTTCTCTGTTACTCTCTTTCTCTCTCTCTTCCCTAGGACACAAAGTGTATGAGCTGAAAGAACAATGGCTAGCAAGGAGAGCAGGAGCAAAATGAAAAGCAGAGAAAGAATTAAGACTACGTTAAAAAGTAACTATGAGTCATCAGGGAAATGCAAATTAAAACCACAATGAAGACACCACTTCACAATCACTGGGATACCCAAAATCAAAAAGATAGTCAGGGGCCTGCCAGGTGGCGTAGTGGTTGTGTTCGTGTGCCCTGCTTTGGCAGCCTGGGGTTGGGCGTGGACCTACACCACTCGCCAGCCATGCTGTGGCAGCGACCCACATATAAAGTAGAGGAAGACTGGCACAGATGTTAGCTTAGGGCAAATCTTCCTCAAGCCACAAAAAAAGATAGTAACAAGTGTTGATGAGGATGTGGAGAAACTGGAATCCTCATATACTGCTGGTGGGAATGTGAAATGGTGCAGTTGCTTTGGAAAAGGATCTGGCAATTCCTCAAAAGAGTAAATCATAGATTTGCCATATGACCCAGAAATCCACTCCTAGGTATATATCCAAGAGAAATGTCCACACAAAAACTTGTACATGAATGTTCATAGCAGCATTATTCATAATAACCAAAAAGTGCAAAGAACCACTAATTGATGTCCACTAACTGATGAACATATAAAATGTAGTGTATACATACAATGAAATATTTGACAACGAAAAGGAATGTAGTACTGATACATGCTACAGCATTGGTAGATTTTAAATATTATGCTAAGTGAAAGAAGCCAGACACAAAAAAAACACATATTACATGATTCCATGTATATGAAATGTCCAGAATAGGCAAATACATAGAGACAGAAAGTAGATTAGTGGTTAACTAGGGGTAGGGGCTTGGAGAGTAATGAGGAGTAACTACTAACGGACACAGGGTTTCTTTTTGAATTAGTGGTGAGTAATGTACAACTCTGTCAGTCTAGTAAAAGCCATTAAATTGTATACTCCAAATGAGTGAATTATATGATGTGAATTATCTCAATAAAGCTGTCATATTTAAGAAAAGATTTTAAAAAACTGGTTACAAAGTAAAACTACTAGGCTATCCCAGGAGAATCTGTGTCTTTGCAAATGAGAAGCCATAATTGCAGAAGTGGCAGAAACCCAAAAGCATTTAAGCAGGAAAGGAAAAAAATATCAGAAAGAAAGGCTATATGGAAAGAGGAAGGGGGAATGATTTCTATTTAACTGAATTTCAAGATAGTGGGTGTGTTGGGGTCATATCACCCCAAATGCACAGATATTACATGATGGGTTGCATAACTCTAAAGTCAGACCTTCTCCTCACCTGAAAGCTATCATTTCTGAAAATAAAGGATCTAGAGGAGAGGTGAGATTAAAAAAAAAAAAATGCAAAGGCTGATGTTAACTTTTTGGAGATTCTGAATTAAAAAGTTCACATAGGGGCTGGCCCAGTGGCACAAGCGGTTAAGTGTGCACACTCTGCTGTGGTGGCCCGGGGTTCGCTGGTTCGGGCGCCGGGCATGCACCGATGCACTGCTTGGCAAGCCATGCTGTGGCGGCGTCCCATATAAAGTGGAGGAAGATGGGCACAGATGTTAGCCCAGGGCCAGTCTTCCTCAGCAAAAAAAAAAAAAAAAAAGAGGAGGATTGGCAGATATTAGCACAGGGCTGATCTCCTCAGGAAAAAAAGAAAAAAAGTTCACAAATGGGGGCTGGCCCGGTGGCGTAGTGGTTAAGTTTGCTCCTTCAGCTTTGGTGGCCTGAGGTTCTCAGGTTTGGAACTTGGGCGCAGACCTACACACCGCTCATCAAGCCATGCTGTGGTGGGGTCCCATATGCAAACTAGAGGAAGATGGGCACAGATGTTAGCTCAGGGCCAATTTTCCTCACACACACACAAAAAAGTTCACAAATGTAAGGATCTTCTGGCATATTGCATTCCATCTTCACAAAATAAGAACATTTGATTAGCGTCTAAAATGCACACCATTTTCTAAGATGAATTTAGAAATGTGACTCAGATTTAACTAGAAAAAGTAAAGCCTTCAAGTTCTGGAGCTAAGAGTAAGACACTGACAGCCAGACCAGTGCTGGCACTGTTTGAGATTCAGGCAGAATTTAAGAGGAAAGAGAAGGGTTAGCCAAGCTACCTCATCATGTATCTCCTTATAATGAGACTTTAGCAGAAATCAATGCAATCTCTGACTAAAGTGAATACCGTCTCCAAACGTGGCAATATGTCAAATGATAATATGGAAGTTTCATGGGTATTAGCAGATACAGCATTAACACATTTTTGGCAACAGCACAATTAGAGAGTAGAGAATTTCCTTTACATTTTTTAGTCCTTAACTTGCAAACGGTTACTAAGCCCTTTACTCCCACTATGTCTTTGTCTTAATCAAGCATCATTTGTGTGGAAAATCAGCTCACTGTTTCCTTAAAAACAGGCGAGCCATTAATTGATCCAATGTGTTGGCAGTTCGGGAGAACCTTTTTAGACAGGAACAAATGACGCCTCTTTGTGTGCAAAGAAGCTGAGGTTAAGATTTCATGCATATGCACAAAGAAACATTTAAAGAATCCTGCAAAGTCAGCTAACAATCTTCTTGGAGTCTAAAGAACAAAAAAAACCCTCCTTCACCCCTCCCCACATCAAGGTCCAGCTATTAAATGTTTATTTAAAGATATTTTAGATGACTTAAAGTGCCCTTCCATAGTCCTCCAAATCCTTGAATATCAAAAAGTTTAAGTAGTGCTCCTACAACTCAGAGTCAGAGTACAATCTGTTCCCCTACAAAACTGTTGAGCTCAAGAAAGTACATCAAATGTTCCTAAATGATCCACCCGAACTTTTCTGTTAACTGTCTCTCCTCCTCTTCACTAACTAACACACTGCATGTTTCTGGCCTACGTGTAAGAAGCATTGAACTTTCCCCACCCCACCTGTTTGTGTTAAGGTTGCCAAGTTCGTTGTCTGAAACAGCTGGTGTGGATTACCAGAGGCAAACCAATTGTGTATTTTTTTTTTTTCACTAGTAGGTGACATGAGCTCTCAGAATAAAAACTTGTCCCCAAAGAATGCACCCCCTCCCCGCAAATGTAGCCAAAGCTTGGTGTTCCATCTCAGTAGTCTATTGTTTATTTTCTTTAAAAGCCAGATTTCAATAATGTTTTTGATTAGGCGACTCCAGTCAGAAAATGCATCTGTCATTCCTATGCCCTCCTTCTCCCTCTGGATGCCATAGCTTCAACTCAGGAACCCCTCTGGGGAAGGAGGGCCCACTTCTCAGGCACCTAGACATAAGGAGCAACCCTGGACTCAAGGAGTCAGCTGAGTTGTGCTGCTGCTTATGCTGCTTATGCTGACAAGCCTGGGAGGACTTGTTTGTTTGTTCCTACCACGGAAGCATTGCTATGCCAGGCGTAGGGATAAACAGCGAGTTTTAGGACAATAACGTATTTCTGGTCCTGGCACTCTGTGATCATTAAGAAAAGCTTACTCTTTCTACCCTGAAATCCTCTCATTCTCGCCAGAAAGAAAACCTTCAGCGTACTGAACCTCCCCATCAGGCAAAGGAGAATACAATACTGGAAAAGTAGGCATAACTTTATGGCCACCATGCTCTTCTTGGCTTGTTGAGGATTGTTATTTACCATCGTGCCCGCCTTTCAGCTTTTCCAGATGACAGCTTGGCAGAGCACGGACTCTCAATATTATTTATGACGTGCGTCAACCCGGCACGGGGAGACTCTTAATCTCCCACGAAGAACTGAAACCCGACTTAAGGAGCGAGTTCGCGGCAGTGAGCTGCCAGCACGAGCAACTCTACCCACCTCTTGACACACAAACGCCCGCATCAGGAGTATACCCGATGCACATACCCGAGTACAGAGCTGAGTTATCAGATCTATCGGTTCCAAACAGGTGCGGGGCCGGTCACTAACCGAGAATATCCGAGCCCCGCCCCCCAAACCCCACCTTCCACATCCTCCTCGGAAAAGTTAGCCCACCTCGGCGAACCCTCGTCCAAGTGGCGCTATGCTAAGCGGAACACTCTCTGGTCCCCCCAGTACAGTTAGTCCTCTCTTCTCTGCAAACCCTACGAAGTGACGCGCAGCAAAACTTAGCGGGTCCAGGGAACAGAGACGCGCCTTTCGCAAAGCACACTTTCCAGAAAGGAGCTAGAAGGCCGACGCGGGATCCTTCTCAGCGCCTCCATCCCCTCGGGCTCCCCTCCCCAGCGCCCGCCCCGCAGCCGCCGGGGCCGCTCACCTGCATGGGGCATGGTGATGGTCTCGTTGGTGTTGGAGCCCACGTTGAAGATGACCACAGCGGAGGCGTTCTGCAGGAACGCGTTCCGGATCTTATCCCTGTACGTGCAGTTGCCCTTGGGGATGAGGGCTATCCAGTTCTTGCCGTGGGCTGGGGCGGCGAACTTGGTATTGGGGTCGCAGGCCAGGCGGTCGTGGGCCGAGGTAGCCATGACCACCTCCCCGCGGGCGTCCTGCTTGGGTGAGTGCTCCCCGTAGCGCCCGCACTCGGTCTTCTCGGTGTGCAGCTCGGTGCCGCCGCCGCCCGCCACCCCGGCCCCGGGGTCCGGCGCGGGCTCGGCGTAGGTGATGTTCACGAAGGCGGTATACCATTCCTCCTTCTCGGCCACGGTGAAGTCCAGGCAGAGCAGATGCACGAAACAAAAGGAAAGCAGCCATGTTGAGAGAGCCAGACTGCGGCACGCTTGGATGAGAGACATTGCCATCTTTATCCGCCGGGGCCCCCTCCCCGCCCCCCGCGCCCTCCCCCCGCCCCGTCCCTCCGGCTCTGGCCAACCCCCGGCCGGCCGCTTCTCCTCCTCCTCCTCCTCCTCCTCCGGCTTACTCCCGGGCCCGAGGGGCCGCGGCCGGGACGCGCAGTCGCCGCGGAGACCGGATTCCGAGCGAGCGGATGGTGCCGGCCCCTTCCCCTTTCAGCCGGAGCGTGGCGGCTGCATTTCGCTTACGGGCCCCGGAGGGGCGCAGGAGGAGGGGGCGCTCCGGCCTTGCAGAGGAGTCCAGCTGCCGAGCGTCCTGCTCCTTCGACCGGCTTCTCCTTCTCTCATAGGGGTGACAGGAGGGCCAGGAGCGTGCGAGGTGGCGGCTCTGCGCCCTCCAGCCCCGGCGGGCGCGGGCGCGGGCGCGGCTGTTCGGAGCCCGGGGTGCTGCCTTGGGTGTCCCCGTCGCCGCCGCCGAGCGCTCGGGCGAGCGAGTCCGGCTGCAGGCGCGGCGGCCGCTACTGCTGCGCGCCGGTTCCTCGGGCTCTGGGCGCTTCGCTCCTCGCTTCGCCGGGTGGCTGCGCCCGGCACACGCTTGCCGCGGGAGGGGCCGGCTCGGGGGTAGTGGGAGCGAGCGGCCAGAGAGGAGTACGGCGTCTGTGTGTGTGTCTGTATATGTTTGTGTGTGTGTATAATGTGTGCGTGCAAGGAGGAGCTTAGTGTGATGTCAAAGATTCTGGGCTTCGCTTGCCACGCTCCCTCGGTCTTTCTTTGTGGGCAGCAGCGACCCCTGCTGGGTCTCAAATTCAACCCAGTCGGCGATTTGGTGCAGGTGGAGGCAAAAGGGGAAGCGACCCCTTGACCTAGAGTACAGGAACAACTTCCTGCGCCTTAAATATAGCGAAATGTGTGTGCCTCTCGTAAACAACCTTCCCATTTGCGGGAGGAACTGCAGTGAGCTCCCCAATTACCCATTCTAGGGCGAAAAGGGAAAGCTGGTTGGTCGCAAGGTCCTTCCAGCACCACGCCTGGAATATCTAGGGCAGTGACTATCAAATTTAAGTGTGCATCAGCATCACTTGGGGGTTGTTAAAACTCAGACTGATGGGCCCCGCTACAAAGTTTCTGATTCAGTACGTCTGGCGTAGGGCTCCAGAATATGCCCTTCTAACAGGTTCCTAGTTGGTGCCGATGCTGCTGATCTAGGGACGACTCTATTAGGGTGAGTATAGGAATAGGCTTCTTTTCTACCATCTGGAAGCAAACATGTGACATTTGTTTTCTTATAGAATGAGTGTGTTCTAACTCTATAAGAAACTGGGTGAGATATTTCTTCACTGTATTTATTCTGGTTGTCATGACAGGTAACAGGACTCAGCATCAATAGGCAAGGGAGGTTTGTTTGGGTTGTTATTGTTTATAATGTGTTCTCCAGTTGTGCATAGAGATCACAACTAGTCAGCAGAGAATACAGCCCCTCTAGAGTAGTGTTCTTAAAACTGTGACACAGCACAATTCATTACCAATTAATTGTTTGAGTAGTTGTTATCCTTTTACACCAACAGTTTCCTTGGCTGGGGATACCTGCTGTATAAAGTTTCTAAAATGATTTGCATGATAGCTCTTAATCACTCACATTGTACTTCCCACCTGGCATTCTTTCATACAACCCAGGACCCGATTCATGATGGAAACAAAAGTCCACCTTTTCCCCAGGACCTTAGTATATTTACAGCTTTTTGTTAATGACTGCCCACCAGCACAACTTCCCTTTTTCCAGCAGCAGTACAAACAACTGTTGGCTGTTAGGGGCGAGCAAAGAATCCCAGCTATACCCAAATTAGAGGCAGGCACAAGAAGAACTACTTAGGAGAATTTGTCTCTTTGGCATCTGATGTGCTAGATTTGTGTGTTTTCCTAACTTTTCCATTTTAAAAAATAGGCTTCTAGGCAATTGGGACAGTGCTTTTTATAGTGCCTAATGCCAAAAAGGCAAAAGTGGAGACGGCATGGCTGCTGGTTCCTGAGCCACCAGAGATCTGGAGGAGTCCTGTGGCTAAAAACCCCCAGCTAGGTTCTGTACAGATGCCTTAGCAAACCAAGGTAGTTCCCCAAACCTCTATCTCAGCAATATTTCTCCAGCCATAACACTTGGGGAATCTGTGTCATTCAGAATGTATGACTACCCTTTACCCTTTCTTTCCCTTGGAAAAGTTAGAGGCTGAAGAGATGGCAGGATCAAGGAAGCAGCATCCTGCTGGGAGATTGATTAATTACAGGGGCATTGGGCAAATAAATAAAATACTGAATATAATGGGAGCGAGGTTTCTCAGTGTTGGAGAAGGAATTTACAAGTATGGAAAGAAAGAAAGTTATAAAGAACCTGGAGATGTTGGATTGTGTTAAAAATGAGTGCGAAATCATTAAAAAATATATGTGTGTGTGTGTGTGCATATAAAAATGCACCATAGCTATCTTCATTCAGAGGCTAGAAGCAATGAACACATCAGGTGGCCAGAAGATCTACCATCCTCCATTAAAAGGAAACAGGGCTGATTTCAGGGCTTGGACTGGGAAAGTGAGCTCGGGAGCTCTTGTAGTGACGTGCTCAAAGCAGGATGGGAACATGCCCAAAGGACACATGAGCCAGCTGAAAGGAGCTCCCACTGGCCAACTCTGGGACAATTTGAGCACCAAAATAAATAATGATCGTAACTGATTACAATCTATTGGATAAAACAGGAATCAATGAGTCCATGCTAATCTAAATGAATATATAAATAAATGGGAAGAAGGGACAGCTCCCCTTATGGAGGAATGCCGGCTAATAAGATTGATAGAAATCAGTTATCACTCTGGTGGGTGGGTGTTTGATGTGAAGCAGGATGTTAGCCTAGTCTCAAAGTATCTTCTGAAAAATACTTATTGATTACAAGGGGAGAAATGATGAATTTATTGAGGAGACGTTGGAAGACACCAAAGTGCCCAGGTGATCAAGATGAGCATCACCATTCATGAACGAGTCACATCACATGCCTTCTGATGTGATGTGCTGAGAAGAGCACAGCATCTTTTCTGTCGCATTCCTGCTAAGAACGCTCGGCCTGACTCCGTATATGAGGGAACATTGGATGGACCCAGGTTGAGAGGCATCCTCCAAAATGAAAGGTCTGTATTCTTTAAAACTCTTAATTTTAGGCGACACAGAGAAAGATAGAATAACTAATTGATTCAAATTGAAGAAGACTTAAGAGACATGACACTAAATACAACAAATTTGATCCTGGATTGGCTTCTGGACCAGACAGGAAAAATAAACAGTTGGCAAAAATTGAGTGAGGTCTGTGGATTGGACAGCAGTGTCTTCTCAATGATAATTTCCTGATTTGGATGACTATATTGTAGCTACGGAGAAGAATGTCCTTGTGGGGGAGATATGTACGCTGAAGTATTTAGCAGTGATGAGGCATTCTGTCTGCACCTTGCTCTTAAATGGTTCAGAAAAAAAATAATGATAATCTCTAAAATCTTTGTTTCCACTAGCCACTATTTCAGAGAAGTTGAAATCCAATTCATGATAAAATAAAAAGTTGAAACTCCACCTTTTTGGGGGGAAGGGAGGATATTAATCTATTTCCAGCTTGGTGCTAATGATTCTCCTCCAGCACGACTTCTCCTTTTTTCCCAGTAGTATTACTTGAACCATTGAGCTGGGTAGACAATAGGGAATAAAAGAGATAAGGTTCTTGCTTTCACAGAGTTTACATTCTGGGGTGAGAGAGACATAAAATTTTTAAGTTTTAGATTAGTCCAGGTAATAACAAGTGCTATGAAGAAAAAGGCAGCAGAGTGAGGGAGGGTGACCTATTTTTATATAAAGTGCTATTTGACATCAGGATCAGCTGCTCTGATGACATGACTTTTGAACAGGATCCTGAAAGAAGTGAGGGACCCATGTGTATATTTGGAGAACTTGTACCAGGAAGAGGGAGCTGAGGGCCTCAGGCAAAATCGTATTTGATGTGCTTGAAGAATAGCAGAGAAACCACTGAGGATGAAGAGGAGTGAGAGAGAGAAAGAGCAAAGGAGATGAGGTCAGAGAGATGGGAGGCTGGTCATATGGGCCCTTGTAGTCCAGGGTAAGAACAATTTGGATTTTATTCGGAGTGAGAGGAAAAACCTTTGGAGAGTTTTAAGCAGGTAAGTGACGTAGTCTGACGTGTTTTAAAAGCTTGTTCTGACTGTATTGGAGCAAGCATGGAAGCAAGGAGAATAATCAGGAGCTATAACCATAATGGAGGAAACAGGACAGTGACTTGTGCCAGGAAGGTGGCAATGAACATGGGGAGAAGTGACTGGATCCTCCATATGTTTTGAAGATGGAACAAACAGTATTCTCTGGTGCATTTGAAATGGGGTAGGAAAGAAAGGGTTCCAGAAGGACTCTACAGTTTGGAGTCTAAACAACTGGCAGAATGGAGTTGTCGTTTTCTGAGATGAAGAAGATTGCAGGAGGAGCTGGTCGGGATAGGAATCAAGAGTTTTGCATATGTTCGGTTCAAGGTGCCTAAGATATCCAAATGACAATTTCTTGTCATCTGCCTCAGCATAGAGTCCCAGAAGGAAGATGACTGATCGAAGCACACGAACAGTTTCAAAGTTATTAACACATGCAGGATGGCCAAATTGCTTTTCCAAAGGTTGGCCTCACTTAATACAACATGCCCCAGAGTAAACCGAGCTCCCTAAAATAATTTTTGAAATATCACCAGAAGACAGCTTAATGGTGAGTCCTGGCCTGAGGGGGACTCTCTCCATCAGCCAAGCAGCCCAGGCCAGAGAGAATTAGTAGGTTTCCCCAGGGTTCTTTGGTGTAGGGAGGTATTCTTGTTTTCATAAAGGGTAGGAGCGGATTTGACTTAAATGCAATATGTGTGTCTGAGTTAAAAATGAAGAGCAGCCCCAGCAGAGAATGGCATGTCCCATTTCTCTGAATGTCAGCAAATTGGACTTTCCTTACGAAGCTCTCAGCCTTGACATGCTTTAGCCTCTTGCTGGTAATGTGCACTGCATGTTCAAAGGGAATTCCATTGAGGTTTTTTTTTGTGTGTGTGTGTGTGTGTGTGAGGAAGATCAGCCCTGAGCTAACATCCGTGCTAATTCTCCTCTTTTTGCTGAGGAAGACCGGCTCTGAGCTAACATCTATTGCCAATCCTCCTCCTTTTTTTTCCCCCAAAGCCCCAGTAGATAGTTGTATGTCATAGTTGCACATCCTTCTAGTTGCTGCATGTGGGACGCGGCCTCAGCATGGCCTGAGAAGCAGTGCGTCGGTGCGCTCCCGGGATCCGAACCCGGGCTGCCAGTAGCGGAGCACGTGCACTTAACTGCTAAGCCACGGGGCCAGCCCCTCCATTGACTTTTAAAAAATGAATTAAAATATTTGAAAATAAAATTCCTCCTGCATATACATATTTTTGTGGCTTAGTAAAAGTTTAATGTGGAGAAGTTTCGATATACAGAATTTTATCCATATTGTACTTTTTATTTTACATTGATTGATTGCAGTTTTTTAAAATTGATGCCTTTTCAGTTCTTCAGCAAAGGTCCTTTCTTCACAATACACACCTAAATAACTATTCTCATGACTGAGAAGGAGGCAAACTCTTCAAAAGTATATTCTACATATCTGTGAAGGGTGAAGAATCTTCAAAATATGATAGGGAGTTCACATGACCCATTACATATGGAGGCTGGCATTATTATTTTAAAAATCAATTCCCTGTGGAGTCGCAGCCTGTGGTATTTAGTTTCCTGTGGCCTGTCCTAAGGATATTTCCCTCTTCCCCATCTTCCATATTCGCTTGGAGGGGAAGTGCCATGTGCGGGAGTGGAAGAGTGGGAGCTTTGCCAGCAGATGAACCAGGATTAGAATCTCAGCCCTGCCACGTGGATGATTTTAACAGTGCCGAGCCACAGTTTTCTTTTTAAAACTGGAGTGATTACACCCCTCCCAGGACTTTTGGAAGATTCTAAAGGGCAATGTGTGTCTGGCACATAAAAGAATGAGAGAGACTCCAAGGAGAGGTCAGGACGATAGTAGGAAGAAACAGAGTTTAGAAATTTTAACATCCAAAAAAATTTAAAGAAGATCAGTTTATTTATTTACATATATATAGTTGCC